CCATGTCCCCAGGGTCCCCCCAATCCCCGTCCCCTCCCTCCCCGTGTCCCGGGGTCCCCCCCGTGTCCCCCCGTCCCACTCACCGTCGTGCAGGGGGGTCTGGGAGCCGTACATGGGGGTGCGGGAGCCGGAGCCGTACATGGGGGTCTGGGAGCCGTACATGGGGGTGCGCCCGTAGGCCGAGGTCATCCCGCCGGGGCGCCGGGACCCCCTGCGGGGACAGGTCGGGGGGTCAGGGACCCCCAAAGACACACACACCCCGCCCCCCGGCTCATGGCTGAACACCCCAATCCATCCGGGGGTCTCTGAGGGCCACCATGACCCATGGAGGGGTCTCCGAGGGCCACCCTGATCCATTGGGGGGTCTCCGAGGGCCACCCTGACCCATCCAGGGGCCTCCAAGGGCCACCCTGACCCATTGGGGGGTCTCCAAGGGCCACCCTGACCCATCCAGGGGCCTCCAAAAGCCACCCTGATCCATCAAGGGGTCTCTGAGGGCCACCCCAACCCACTGAGGGGTCTCCAAGGGCCACCATGACCCATGGAGGGGCCTCCAAAGGCCACCCTGATCCATCAAAGGGTCTCCAAGGGCCACCACGACCTACTGAGGGGTCTCCAAGGGCCACCTCAACCCATCAAGGGATCTCCAAAGGCCACCTCAACCTGTTGAGGGGTCTCCAAGGGCCACCCTGACCCATCCAGGGGCCTCCAAGGGTCACCCTGACCCATCCAGGGGCCTCCAAGGGTCACCCTGACCCATCAAAGGGTCTCCGAGGGCCACCATGACCCATCGGGGGGTCTCCGAGGGCCACCCTGACCCATCAAGGGGCCTCCAAAAGCCACCCTGATCCATCAAGGGGTCTCCAAAGGCCACCCTGACCCATTGGGGGGCCTCCAAGGGCCACCTCAACCTGTTGAGAGATCTCTGAAGGCCACTGTGACCCACTGAGAAGTCTCTGAGGGCCACGACAACCCACTGAGAGGTCTCTTAAGGGCCACCATGACCCATCGAGGGATCTCCAAGGGCCACCTCAACCTGTCAAGGGGTCTCCAAGGGCCACTCTGACCCACTGAGGGGTCTTCAAGGGCCACTGTGACCCATTGAGGGGCCTCCAAGGGCCATCCTGACCCATTGAGAGGTCTCTAAGGGCCACCCCGACCCACTGAGAGGTCTCCAAGGGCCACCTCAACCTGTTGAGAAATCTCTGAAGGCCACTGTGACCCACTGAGAAGTCTCCGAGGGCCACGATGACCCACTGAGAGGTCTCCAAGGGCCACCTCAACCTGTTGAGAAATCTCTGAAGGCCACTGTGACCCACTGAGAAGTCTCTGAGGGCCACGACAACCCACTGAGAGGTCTCTTAAGGGCCACCATGACCCATCGAGGGATCTCCAAGGGCCACCTCAACCTGTCAAGGGGTCTCCAAGGGCCACTCTGACCCACTGAGGGGTCTTCAAGGGCCACTGTGACCCATTGAGGGGCCTCCAAGGGCCATCCTGACCCATTGAGAGGTCTCTAAGGGCCACCCCGACCCACTGAGAGGTCTCCAAGGGCCACCTCAACCTGTTGAGAAATCTCTGAAGGCCACTGTGACCCACTGAGAAGTCTCCGAGGGCCACGATGACCCACTGAGAGGTCTCTTGAGGGCCACCATGACCCATCGAGGGATCTCCAACGGCCACCTCAACCTGTCGAGGGGTCTCCAAGGACCACCCTGACCCATTGAGGGGTCTCCGAGGGCCACCATGACCCACTGAGAGGTCTCTTGAGGGCCACCCTGACCCATGGAGGGGTCTCCAACGGCCACCTCAACCTGTCAAGGGATCTCCAAGGACCACCCTGACCCATTGGGGGTCTCCAAGGGCCACCCTGAGCCATCGAGGGATCTCCAATGGCCACCTCAACCTGTCGAGGGGTCTCTGAGGGCCACCACGACCCACTGAGAGGTCTCTTGAGAGCCACCCTGACCCATGGAGGGGTCTCCAAGGCCCTCCTCCCCCCCCAAACCCCCAAGGAAGGGGTTCCCCGTGCCCCCCACTCACACGGTGGTGAGGCGCTGCCGATCCACCGAGATGGTCTGGCAGGTGGAGTGCAGCTCCACGCGGGCCGTCGACTCCGTGGCGTCCTTCACCACCCCGATGTAGCCTGTCGGGGGGGGAAGAAAGGATCAGGGTGACCCCCAAAACCCCCCTTCCCCCTCCCCCTTCTTTTGCACGGGCCGTCGACTCCGTGGCGTCCTTCACCACCCCGATGTAGCCTGTCGGGGGGGGAAGAAAGGATCAGGGTGACCCCCAAAACCCCCCTTCCCCCTCCCCCTTCTTTTGGGGGGGACCCACTTTGGAGGAGCACCCACCTTTGTAGGGTCCCTGGGAGATGCGCACCGTCTGCCCGATGAGGTCGTTATCCCGGCGCCCGCGGCCACGGCTCATCCCACCGCCCCCAAAACCCCCCCGTTGGCCTGGTTGGGGGGGGACACACGATCGAGATGGGGTTTAAGGGTGGGGGGACACCCCCAGGGAGGTTGTTGGGGGGAGGGGGACACCCCACCACCACTCACCGGCCCCGCTGGGGTGCATGGGGCTGCTGATGCGGGGGCTCATGGGGGCAAAGCCCCCCACCGTGAAGTTGGTGACGTCCCGGGGCTGCCGGAGGGAGAGAGAAGGGGGGGTTTGGAGGGAAAAACGGGGGGTTGGAGGGAAAAACGGGGGGCTGCACACCCCCTGGGGGTGTGTGTCCCCCCCCTCACCTTGGAGCCCCCCGCCAGGACGAGGTGTCGGGTCTTGCAGACGAACATCCCCCCGTTCTCCACCAGCTTCTTGCAGTGCAGGAAGGCGAAGCCCCGGAAAAGGTGGCGGATCTCCCCCTCCCGGCCCTGCCCCCGGGGGAAAATTGAGGGGGGGGACACACACGACACCCCCAGACACCCCCAGACACCCCCAGAGAGGTTACTGGGTTGTGTGTGTGCCCCCCGCCGCAGCCGTGGGAAGGATCAGGTGATGGGAGGGGATGGGGTGACCCCTGGGTGCTGGGGGGGAGACAAGAGGGACCCCCAACCCCCGAATGGATCCCTAAAAACACCATGAGGAACCCCCCAAAACCCATGAGACACCTCTCAAACCCCTGGAGGGACACCCAAAACCCATGAGAGAGCTCCAAAACCCCTGAAGGGACACCCAAAACCACACGAGGGACCCCCAAAACCCCAAGGGACCCCCAAAACCCCACAAGGGACCCTCCAAAACCCATGAGAGACCTCTGAAACCCCTGGAGAGACACCCAAAACCCCACGAGGGACCCCTAAAAACCCATGAGACCTCCAAAACCCCTGGAGAGATACCCAAAATCCCATGAGGGACCCTTAAAACCCCCAAGGGACCCCCAAAACCCCAGGAGGGACCCCCAAAAACCCATGAGAAACCTCCAAAACCCCAGGAGAGACCTCCAAAACCCCAGGAGAGACCCTTAAAACCCATGAGAGACCTCCGAAACCCCTGGAGGGACACCCAAAACCCCACAAGGAACCCTTAAAGCCCACAAGGGACCCCCAAAACCCCAGGAGGGACCCCCCAAAACCCCTGGAGAGACCCTTAAAACCCCCGAGGGACCCCAAACACCCATGAGAGACCTCCAAAACCCCTGGAGGGACCCTTAAAACCCCCGGGGGACCCCAAACACCCATGAGAGACCTCTGAAACCCCTGGAGAGATACCCAAAATCCCATGAGGGACCCTCCAAAACCCATGAGAGACCTCTGAAACCCCTGGAGAGACCCTTAAAACCCATGAGAGACCTCCAAAACCCCAGAAGGGACACTCAAAACCCCATGAGGGACCCTCCAAAACCCATGAGAGACCTCCAAAACCCCTGGAGGGACCCTTAAATCCCCCAAGGGACCCCCAAAACCCCTGGAGGGACACCCAAAACCACACGAGGGACCCTTAAAACCCCTGAGGAACCCTCAATACCCCCCAAGGGACCCTCAAAACCCCCTGAGGGACCCCCCCAAGACCCCACCGAGTGAGGGCCGTCGATGACTTTGACGATGTCCTTGACGTGGATGTTGTTCTGCTCCGAGTCCAGGGCCACGGCGAAGCGATTGTCCTTCTTGCGGGTGACGGCCTGGTGCCGCACCGTCACCACCTTCCCGTACATGTTCAGCACCTAACGGGGGGGACACGACAGCCAGAGGCTGGAGACCCCCCAAAAATCCAGACCCCTGGGGGATAAGGGGCAGGGAGGACCCCGGAGACCCCCAACGAGTCCTGGGGGACCCCACCTGGAAGGTCTCTCTCTCCAGGCGGACGATGACGCCCACGGTTTGGGGGTCCAGCTGCACCAGCTCCCCCCACTCGTGTTGCCCCCCAACGTCCACCCCCGAGGCCGTCTCCGAGCAGAGCTGCAGGTCCCGGGGCAGCACCTTCAGCTGGGGAGGGGGGAAAGAGAGAAAAAAAAAGGGTCAGGGGTGGTCGTTTCCACTCTTTTTAGCCCCAAAAAACAGCCTGTTTTGGGGCAGGAGTTTCCCCTCCCCAAAACTGTCCCATTTGGGGGCAGGAAAAGGCACCAAGTGGGACTTTGCACCCCCAAAACTCAGCCCTTTTTGGGGCAGGACTTTCCCCCCCCCAAAAAATCCAGCCTGTTTTGGGGCAGGAAAAGGCATTGAGTGGGACTTTTCACCCCCAAAAACCAGCACATTTCAGGGCAGGACATTCTCCCTGCCCACCCCCCCCAAAAAACAGCCTGTTTTTGGGACAGAATGTTTTCCCCAAAAAAATCCAGCCCATTTTAGGGCAGGAAAAGGCACTGAGTAGCACTTTTCACTCCCAAAAATCACCCCTTTTTGGGGCAGGACTTTCCCCCCCAAAAAAATCAGCATGTTTTGGGGCAGGAAAAGGCACCGAGTGGGACTTTGCACCCCCAAAACCCAGCCCTTTTTGGGGCAGGACTTTCCCCCCCCCAAAATCAACGTATTTTGGGGCAGGAAAAGGCACCGAGTGGGGTTTTTCATCCCAAAAACCACCCCTTTTTGGGGCAGGACTTTCCCCCCCCCAAAATCAACGTATTTTGGGGCAGGAAAAGGCACCGAGTGGGGTTTTTCATCCCAAAAACCACCCCTTTTTGGGGCAGGACTTTCCCCCCCGAAAGATCAGCATGTTTTGGGGCAGGAAAAGGCACCGAGTGGGGCTTTGCACCCCAAAAAACCAACCCATTCAAGGCAGGACGTTTACCCCCCAAAACCCAGCCCATTTCTGAGCAAGAAAAGGCATCGAGGAGGCCTTTTTCACCCCAAAAAAAGCCCCGTTACCTCGTGCATGGTGAGGTCGGAGAAGAGGATGACGAAGTTCTCCTCCACCCGGACGATGAGCCCCGTGTCCCCCTCGAAGCGCCCCGCGATCACCTTCACGTGGTCCCCCATCTTGAAGTACTTCCTCAGCTCCTGCGCCGGGAACTCCAGCATGTCCTGGGAGAAGGGGAAGAAGGAAAAACACCATTGGGGATTGGGGGAAAAAGCAGGAATAAGGGGGTTTTGGTGTTATTTCCCTCCCCCTGACCTTCAGGTCCTCGTGTTTGGGCATGATGGTGATCTTGTTGCCGTCGACGCTGAGGATCTTGCCCTGAAGGTTGATGAGCTCCCCCTCACACACCTCCACGTTGTCCCCCGGCTGGAAGTTGTGCTCCCGTTCCTTCCCTGGAGGAAACGGGGGAAAAAAAGGGGAGGGAGGGTCAGCAGGGTGTGTGTGTTCCCCCCCAAAAAAAGGGTAGGGGGATGGTGGGGGCACCCCCCCTCTTACCCGTGCTCTCCGTCACCACCTCCAGGTCGATGCCCTCGGGCTGGTCCTCAAACTTCTCCAGCTCCGAGAGGGTGGGCTTCACCCCCTCCGTGATCTGGGGGGAGGAGGGGGCTGGTGACCCAAAATGCACCCCCTCCACACACAAAAAAACACCCCAAAAAAAGGAACCAGGCTGGCCCAAAGCGCCCCACTCCGCATCTCCCCACGTTCCGCTCTAAAAGGCACAGGTCTGACCCAAAACTCTCTGGGTTCTGCTCCAAAACACCTTGTTCTGCCCTAAAAGGCCTTGTGTTCCGCCCCAAAACGCCCTGTTCTGCCCTAAAACACCCCAAAATGCCCTAAAACACCCCGTTCCGACCCAAAAGACCCCGTTCCAACCCAAAAGACCCCATGTTTTGCCCCGCTGGCCCAAAGCGCCCCACTCCGCATCTCCCCACGTTCCGCTCTAAAAGGCACAGGTCTGACCCAAAACTCTCTGGGTTCTGCTCCAAAACACCTTGTTCTGCCCTAAAAGGCCTTGTGTTCCGCCCCAAAACGCCCTGTTCTGCCCTAAAACACCCCAAAATGCCCTAAAACACCCCGTTCCGACCCAAAAGACCCCGTTCCAACCCAAAAGACCCCATGTTTTGCCCCAAAATACCCTAAGCTGCTCCAAAACGCCACGTTCTGTCCCAAAATACTCCGTGTTATGCCCCAAAACGGCCCATGTTCTGCCCTAAAATACTCTATTCTGCCCTAAAAGGTCCCATGTTCCACCCCAAAATGCCCTGTTCTGCTCCAAAACACCCTGTTCTGCCCCAAAAGACCCCATTCTGACCCAAAACTCCCCATGTTTCGCCTCAAAATACCCCATTCTGCCCCCAAATGCTCTGTGGTATGCCCCAAAACGGCCCATTCTGCCCCAAAAGGGCCCGTGTTCTGCCCCAAAACACCCCATTCTGCCCTAAAACACCGTGTTCTGCCCTAAAACACCCCATTCTGCCCCAAACCTCCTTGCGCCCCACTCCAAAACGCCCCATTCTGCCCCAAAACACCCCGTTTCCCCCCTTCCCAAACCACTCCCAGTCTCAGCAGCGCCTCAGAACCCCCCCCACCCCACCCCCTGGCGCCGGGCAATGTTTTTGGGGTGAAAGCGGGGGTTTTTGGGGTCTGACCACGGCCGACATGGCGAAGCTCTTGAAGAGGAAGCCCTTGCGGCTGTAGCGGTTGCCCTCGAAGATGAGGAAGTCGCCGTCGGAGGCCACGTCCCCCCCCAGGGACCTGAAACCCAAAGAGACACCCCCCCAGGGGGATGAGCCCCCCCATATCCTCAAGGAGAGGGGTGGGGGGCAATTCCCCCAGGGTTTTGGGGGGTTTTGAGGGGGTTTTGAGGGTCGCCTACCGGATCTTCTCGGCATCGAAAAGCCTCTGGGGGGGTCTC